TTGTCCCACATTGTAGCGGGGTCCGCTTTTCTGGTATGTTGACGCCACTTTACCCGATTCAGTGCTTGGTGGGATGGGGCCAACTAATTTCAGGTCCTCATACAAGGTGCCAAGCCAGTGCTGCTCATTGGCCATAAATTTCCGCATTGATGTGACTCTCACCGGTGCTGCCCTCTTCGGAGCTAACGCTCAATCTACTAAAAGGATAGACGGCCAGGCTGTGAGCAAGCCCTGACCGTCCGACTCTAGCCTTTCAGCCCCGCTATGACCCTGCAAGGCCGTGGGGGCATATCCTTCCCTACGATCCTTGCGTGTCCTTTAGGGAATCCGCCTGTCTTTCCACTAGGTGAATTCCACTCTCTTCGACCCTAACGTGGAATCCTCCTTCAATTGAGGTTCTAAATGTGCTTATATTTTTTGCCGGTCGTCGTTTAAAGTTTTTTTTTTAAATTTTGAGTTTCATATATTGAGAGAATTTCAGTTGGTGCGATTTCGAGCTGATTTCTGCGGTGATCTGTCAAGATGCACTTGTAGTGAGACTCGATGGGAGGCACCGACAGTACGATGCGGATTCGACTGCGATCGGATCTGGCGAGAAAGTCTCCTGTCTGAATCGGCTAGTCAGAAAGCAACAGCATATTTCATTGTCCTCTTTCTGATTCGAATGTTCATATGGTAACTGCGGGCAGGCAAATCTCACAATCTTCGGATAGATTCGTCCATGGGGTCTATTCCCATGGTAATCACTGCACATAACTATAATACTATAGCTCGTCTACCGCCTGACAAACCGCTTTCCTTTCCATGTACTTCCTTGGAAATGCATTAACTTTCATACGGGTACGTAGATATTTTGGATCATCATGTTCATATTACATTTCCTTAACAGAGACCTCGATGCTGAATAAATTTATCGCAACTGAGTCAGAGAAAATAAGCGAAATTACAAGTGAACTGAATAAAACATGGCAAGAAATGCTAGGCACAGAGTGGCTTAGAGGTCATTTTATGGCAATAATTACATAAATAGTTCACGGTCAGAGCATCACTTATGCAATGAGCATGTCCCGAAAAGGCACATAACAAAAGCACTGAATAGTAAGAGCACAAAAAGGATATGTGTTTGAAAGCACTTGTGAATTCAGAAAGCCGAAAGTGAACTGGAGCAAAGACACTGACTCTTCTTCCTACTCGCTAAAAAATTACTGACTGAACTGAGAAACTGAAAACGTATGCAAAGCGGTTGAAGATGGAAGAACTTTTGAACGTTCCTCTCATTAAACGCTGGAGATGCTGAGTCAACTAAAGCTAGAATTATCAGTAAAGACACAGTAAATACAAACTGGACAACCTACTCTTCATGTGGGCTGTCACTCAGAAGGGGCGTAAATTCTGGAGATGACGAGAACCACGGTTTCAGGTCCATCACACATCGTTTCATGATGCAAGCGATTGCGAGGGCGTTCTAAACAAATCAGGGTTTAGTGCAATGTGAAATAAGCCAGAGGGATTCAGAAGGGACAGTTGAAAGAATAAAGCAATAGACCACAAAACGATAACAGGTGTCCTAAATGTAAATCCTCTTCTTAGAACTTGAATAGACTTAGAATATGTGGCCAAACACTAAGAATGCGTAGTAAGTTTCGGTATCCAGCTTGCGGACACGTTGTGCTATTAGAGTTGTAAACGAACCTGATCGAGTGAATGGCCCACCAAAATGGAAGGCTACAGTGCACAAGATTCTGCACGAGATTTGGACCCTGGATCATGTACGTAGTACGGCACCGATGTCTACTAGCGACCATCACTTGTTTGCGAGTTCAGATGGATCACTTCTCTTTTCGCTCAATCTCAGACGTCGCCGCTTCTTCCAGCGCTCATGGGATGAGGAGTGTGCGGAATTGCGAGTAGATATATACCTATCACGGACTTTCCCCATTCCCCAGGGACTAATTCATTTAATTTGCAATCAATTCTGGTCCTTTATACAGCAAATACGGACTTCCCATAATGCCGTCTGATTACCGCTGCCTGAGCTGCCCTGTCGAACAGATCCGAAGCAGAAATGTAATAGAAGCTGCTACAATGCACCAGAAAAGGAAACTATAGTGAATTTGTTGTATCTCCTTCGAAAGTTGCCAGGAAAATCCGACCATGGGCGCTGATTAAAAGCGCCGCTTATATAAAACATCATTTTAAAGGCAGATGGTACGATAAATTGCTCACCGGCTGGAAATGAAAGTAGAGGGGCAAGCCCGTGCATCGAGCGAAAACCCAAAGAAACGGAATGAACCCGATGAGACTCCTACTCTGCTGTTGCTCTCCAGAGATTCCACTTAGCTCCCTCCCCACCCATGCATGCTCGGGCCCTTGCTAGAAAACAAATAAGGCAAGACAGCTCACTCGGCTAACTGATCGGTAGGACAAGCAGAGCGCGTAGCGCGTTCCGAACGAGACGACTAACACGAATTTCCAGCGAACGGAGCGCGCTACCGGTTGATAGCAGTTTTCCGTTCCGCTGGAAGTTTTGCATCCTTTTTTACATTCGGCAGGTTTCCTCCTCTTTAACTAGTAATTTCTTGTACCACTTGCCTCCAATGTACGCCTCAGGATAGTTCACCGAGTAACGTCGTCGTTGTAGAAAGCGATCGGAATCTTACCGATGCGCTCCTCGCGACAAGAAACGTGGGCCCCTAGGTTAGGCCACCTCCCGATTATGGGCACGTGGTACTCCTATCCCCCGTTATACACTGGCCGTGTTTCTACGTCCTCAGTGTGGGTTGCTCCTTCGCGTATTCTTGCTTCTTTGTGCGCTGTGTCTCTATCTCGTACCACGACCGACACAGAAATTGAGCCCTGCGTGTTACTGTTTCACAGATGATTTCGTGACCTTTCTTTTACACAGTCTGTACACTCAGTAATTCGCACACTCCACCTAACCTCGAAAGCTGACCTACCCACACTTTAACCTGAGGAGAGCAAGGCATTCAAAGCGCATGCCCTTATACACAGCATGTGTGGTTCTTGGGCAACAAACATGAGATACGTGCGAAATGAGTCTGTAAAAGAAAAGAAAAGATCAGTATCCATACAACGTTAGGCAAAGGTTATTTTTGCCTCACCATATCGTTACTTAGCGTTCGTCGCAAAGGCAATTCCGGGGTTAGCGCGTGAGAAGAGTATGCGATACGAAAACACATCAGTGGAGGTGACTGGACAACAGCAACTGCTGCAGAGGGGGACACTGCAGCGAGCGGCCCATACCTTGCAAGGCTAGCGTCCTTATGGAGCGATTTCTATGCATGGGAGTGCCACACTTGTCATCGTCCTCTAGAGATCTATCCTACAGACAAAAGGAAAGCCTTCACACGACTCCTACTCGCAGCACCGCCGCTTCCTTTCGCAATTTACCGTAATCATCTTCTGTTATTTGACTACCGGGAGTTTAAGGGCACTCGCTATAAAAACAATGCAAAAAATCAGAAACTGTGAACTGTTCCGATTTTTCACTATTTATGGGAGGAACAACCCTCAAGGCAACTTCCGGTCGCAAGGGATTGCCTCTTGTAAACGTCTAATTAAACTGTCGATGGAAGGTATTTAGCTCCCAGAAATGGCTAAGATAAAGAATGCCCAAGTTTATCTGATACCCTTGGAGAAAGACTCACCAACACCATGAAGAGATAGAACACAGACTTGCCACCCGAATGAAGCTTGCATTATTGGAACGAACAGCTGGCCGACAGCACTTCCTGCAGATCCGGTCCCATCTAACAATCCGGACACGGTTGACATAGCCTGAAAAGCTTTTTCTCAGAAAATGCCCACACGCCAATTCAAATGTTTAAATGTTTCATAATCACTTAGCAGACTCAGTACCTGCGCATTGGATGCGAGTATCGGTTGTGACCCCAAATCTATAGATATCGTACCGACAATTAAATTGTACGGACCAGAAATCGTAACACCGACAACCGTCATGAAAAATGCGTTCCAGATCACATTGGCGCCTGTAATTCAGAGGAAAAAGTATAGAATATCAATATCGATGCTCAGGCTAGTGGTACTTACCTATACGAGCATACACAAATAGTGAGCCAATAGAGCAAATCAGCATGGCAACGATCAGCGGCGCTCGGCATCCCATCTTGTCCTTAATTACAAATAGTTTCTATATAGCGATATACAAACGCGATTGAGCAAAATGGTTCCAGTGCTACAGCCCCCACCCTCCCCATTCTTTTCGTTTTCGCATAAATAAGCACTCACTGAAATGTAACCTCCAACGACGCTACCAATAATTCCTCCGATGTCGTACCAAATACTCAACTGATCTGCCTGCAATATCTCTAGAGCTGTTAACCAAGGATTACCCTCATTATCAACGGTTTTGGAAGAGCAGTTGAAAGAAAAGAAGTGGTTCAAACATCTCTCTATTCGATTAGAATCAAGATCTTGACATAAAATTACATGAAGAAAAAGTTTTACTTATACCTTCGTTTCTTCCCAGTGATAAGCTTCCGTCAGGTACAACGGTAACCAGAAGAAAAAGGCGTAGTTGACAAGCTTGAGGCATGCATTACACAAACAGTACTGCAAAAAAATCTCAATTAATGGTGGACCTTTTATGGGTGGAGTAACTCGTATTACTGCAACCTTCATGTTGATGAACCCCTCCTTTCAGTATGAGAAAGAGAAGGCGCCTAGCAATGGGAATGGCGATGGCAGGGTCTCAATCAGTTTGATGTGCTCCATACAAGCAGTTTTTGGAGCATGCCAACTGATTGAGCATCCAAACCGTATTTTGTGAATATTGAGTCCGCTAACTTCGTATAGCATACTCATAGTTCTTAAACGAAGGGAGAAGGTGAAAGGGTCTGCTAAGAAATTAGATGGGTCCAGGAACCCTATGTATTCTTTATTCGGCAATTCGAATGTGTGTAAGAACAGATTTGTTTGCATAGAATCTAAGTCTTGACCAATTCCACTCCTAATCACGTGATATTCCATAATCATAACGAGACCTCCTGCTTCCGAGGCTTTCACTTGAATGGGAGCTCGGGAGCGGTACGCGGGTCTCATTTCTTCATATCGAATGCGCTACACTTTAACCGCACTGTACATTCTTCAGAGTCGCGGTGGCATGTGAATGTGATTTGACATATGCAATGACTTGTGGAAACGGTCTGTACGCAAGACAGCGCTTCTAACTTCCGCTCGAGTCCGAGCACCCTCGGTGACTGACTCCGGAAGAATGGAAGGTTGGATTGGGGTAGGCGATTTCTTACAGGGATTTGATCCTCAGACGGCATCCACAGTATTTAGCGTTACTTGCCATTGCACCACTCTGGCCTTAGAAAAATTAACAGTATATTCTTTCCAATTACGTAATCATGTTTTTCCACACTGACTGTTCCCATCGTGCAACTTACGATATTTTGCCAAAAATCCATGAGTTTCGTTTACAAAAAGAGATCTAATCAAAGCTGGGCTCAAAAACCTAGTATATGGTACGAATGACTCTTCAAGAGCGTAATCAACAAGGATATATGTAAGGTACTAACCGCTAGCACTCCAGGCAGAAGAATAGCATTGATAATGCTGATTGGTTCCCCTTCCGCTGCATGGGACCTGAAAAGATTTCCCGGCTTAATCTTTGATAGGCAATAACATCACACAAATACTGCGCCGTTCCGGTAGCACTAAAATCGAGAGGAACGTTCGTTCCCTATGCTGACTTTTTATGAAAATAATCAAAAAGAGTAGTACCTAAAAATTCCACGAGCCAATTGAAACAATACCTCGAACTTTAATAATTTTTTCCTGCTTCCCAGCATCTTCTGTTTGGTATTCAGTATAAGTTCAATTACTTCGAGAGCAAAGGATATGAACTCGGTGCTGATCAAAACATTTCGATATGCGCCATGCATTCCACTTTTACTCAGAATCGTAGTGGCTCTTGAATGCGTATTTTGCAAGTACAACTTTTTACTCGCGCCACCCAACAAACAAATCACTCAAATCGACTTACTCCTAGAGGGAATGCTTGGTTGGTCTTCGGGGGATCTCATCTGAAATTCAAATTCCCGAACGGGTTGTTCAATAGCACAGCCACTGTATAGTTCGCACTACTGAAGACATCTCGTCATTTCCCGCAATTCTGAAGGAAGAGCACTGACAAGAGGCGGCGTAACCACA